TTAGGAGGACTGCTGCTGGTCCGGCCCTATCTTACGACTTGGTAGATCTGACAGACTCGAACTCATGATGGGCAGCTCTGTTGCACAATCATTCGATGTTCCACGGTTAAATTCTTCATGTCTAACAGGGCCAGGAGTATGGCAAGGGCTGATTTTGAATGGTGTATAGTTTTGTTTTGTTTTTTTCTTGTTCTTTTTTTTTCCTTTCTGCTTTTTCTCCCCAAATCCTCCCAGTACATAGTCGTATATATTTTAGTTGTGGGTCCTTCTAGTTGTGGCTGTTTTCTTTTTAAAGATTTTATTTTTCCTTTTTCTCCCCAAAGCCCCCCGGTACATACTGGTATATTTTTAGTTGTGGGTCCTTCTAGTTGTGGCATGTGGGATGCCGCCCCAGGGTGGCTCAATGAAAGGCGCCATGTCTGCACCCAGGATCCGAACCAACAAAACCATGGGCTACCGCAGCGGAGCGCGCAAACTTAACCACTCGGCCACAGGGCCGACCCCACTGAATGGTGTATAGTTTTTGAATGAGGTTCCTGCTGAGGACACAGCCTCAGTCCAGAGCCCAAAGGGTGATCCTTCTATTTTGGTTTGCCAGATACTCCACATGGCTTCATTTGCCACCACACATACCTCTAGTGGTTTCGGGTATTCCTGGTTGTATGGCAGAGCTACTCGTATCACAGCCTCAACCTACTGTGAGGCCCTTTCCTGCTATGGGACACATCTAAAGCTGGCCAACTTCTCTTTTTGCTGGTAAATGGGTAGGAGCAGTTTTCTGAATTATGGAATACGCTGCTTTGGACCAACTACTGGATTCCTAAAGACTTCACTAATATGGAAAAACCCTGAATTTTTGCAGGGTTTAGTTCTCATCCTTTGTATCTTATGACTTACCAAAACGAATCTAGCTATGCTCAAAGGGTCCACTGGTCCTACCACACAGTCTACCACCCAGAAACTGGTAGCCTGATTTAGTAGAGGAACGGTCTCTTGAAGATTCAGGTAAGGTGTTAGCTTGAATATTATACCCTGCAAAGAGAGGGCCATCTTCCAGGATGCATTATACACCCCAAATTGAAAACCATAATATGTAGAACACGTGGATCTGGGAACCTAGGGATGGAAATAGGAATGGCTACACTTACTGCCATTCAGAGTTGCCTACTTGGACAATCTCTGTTTCCTATCTCTACATTTTAGGCTCTGTGGGTCTAGAGATACACTGTCCAATAAGGTAGCCACTAGTCATGTGTAGCTGTTTAAATTTAAATGTAATTAAGTTAAATTAAAAATTCAGGGGGCCGGCCCCATGGCCAAGTGGTTAAGTTTGCGCACTCCACTTCGGCGGCCCACGGTTTCACCAGTTCGAATCCTGGGCGTGGATATGGCACCACTCGTCCGGCCACGCTGAGGCAGCATGTCACATGCCACACCTAGAAGCACCCATGACTAAAAAAAAATATACAACTATTACTGGGGGGATTTGGGGAGAAAAAGCAGGAAAAAAAGAGGAAGACTGGCAACAGTTGTTAGCTCAGGTGTCAATCTTAAAAAAAAAAATTCAGTTCCTCAGTCCTACTAGTCATATTTCAAGTGCTCAACAACAGCCACCTAAGAAAGTGGTTGCCATATTAAACAGGACAAATACGGACCATTTCCACTATTGCAGAATGTTCTATTTGACAGCAATGCTCTACAGGACCTGGTTTCCAGAAAGGAATGCTTCTACTATGGGATACAGAGAGTCCCACTGAAATTTAAGCTATAGCTAATGCACTGTCACTTTGAGCACTTCATGCCAAGAGATCAGCAAGCAATGAAAGGAGTCAATTTACTGGCAGGGGTCATTGATTCTGATCATCAAGAGGAGAGAGTGTTGATGTTACATAATGGAGACAGGAAAGAATATGGCACTCAGGTGATTTATTGGAGGGTTTCTTAGAACCCTCCTATTAAATTTTAATGGTAAATGGACAAGTTTGTCATCAATGGTCTCAAAAGTTAATGGTCAATAGGGGCTCAGACTCCTCAAGGATGAGAGTTTGGGTCAGCCTAATAGGTATGCTACCCACTCCAGCAGAGGGGCAAGCCTGACACAAGAATGAAGGACATTTTAGCAATTTCCTGTGTAGTGACATGATAATGACTCAAGGTCCAAATGAGCATGTTCCAATGCTTTGTTACCATGCAAGTCTCTTTGAAACAGTGAAACAACTGCCATAACTAAGGGTTGGGAGACCAGGATTGTCTGAGATTGGATTCTTGCAACTCTAGAAAAATGGTGGCTAAAACAGAAAGGGCTACCTGCAAAATATTTTTCGCCAAGTTTTCCCCTGACTTTGCGCTTGCTATTCTTTTTGCCTCTGAATATGCATCTTCCAGATCTTTCACACAGCTGGCTCATTATCATTCCAATGTCACCTCCTTAAAAGAGGCCTTCCCTGATCAACAAACTCTTCCATAACAGTTATTTTGCCTTACATCACTCTAATTAATTACTTAATAAGACTCTAAAATATGTATTCAATTTATTTATTGATTTTTAATTTTCTTATTTATTGTTCAATTCCACCCTGGAATTTAAACCTTCACAAGGGTGGAAACTGGTGGTTCTTTTCGTTGTACTATCTTCAGCACCTGAAACAATGTCTGGCACATTGTATGTGTCAAGTAAATATTTGCTAAATGACTGTGTTACAGAGACTAACAAAACTAGACTGAAGTTAAGAACAGGTTATTTCAACACCTTCAGTTGACCAATAAGCTAATGGGGACAAAAAAAACCTAAAGGAAATAACTTGCCAAACGAACGCAGCAAATTTCCAGCAGATTCAGCATCAGAATCATGGTTTCTGGCTACTAAATGCCTTGCTCTTTCCATTGTATCACTGACACAAAAGTAAATGACAAATATCACAACTGTTCTAAGAATGTGGCAAGCAACACCGAAGCCACAGCTGACGGCAAAGAAAGTGAGCTATAATTAGCATCAGCTTTAATTATTATATCTACCACCTCTTGTCTGTGTAATTCTTAGAGAAGCAAACAGAACAACTCTCAAATATTCAAGGCAGCAGCAAAGACTGGGAGAGACGGGAACATACTCAATTCACAACAGCACCCAAATTACATTTCCGTACCATCCTCTCTTCTAAATTCTTTACTGACGCTTCTTGAGGGACCGTAAAGACACTGTTCCACTGTTCATGCTGGAGAAAAGATGTGGGGTTTTGCTGTGGATAATATGTACCTAGAACAATAGTTCTAGCCGAAATATAGCCGAAAATGCCCTACATTCATTTTGTAATTAATGATTTTTTTCCTACTTTATCTTGGAGAAAACAGGAAATTTACACATTATAACTATTGTCCATTGTACTAAAGCAGACCACCCATGTCCATTTTCCAAATTATAGTCATGCATTGCAACAAACAGAACAAGCCATGCTCAGAAAATTCCTGAGGGGCTGGCTCAGTGGCGTAGTGGTTAAGTTTCCGTGCTCCGCTTTGGCGACCTGGAGTTCACAGGTTTGGATCTCAGGCATGGACCTACACACCGCTCATCAAGCCACGCTGTAGCAGCATCCCACATACAAAATGGAGGAAGACTGGAACAGATGTTAGCTCAGGGACAATCTTCCTCAAGCAAAAAGAGGAAGATTGGCAACAGATGTTAGCTCAGGGACAATCTTTCTCACCAAAAAAAAAAAAAAAATCCTGAAAAAAAACCTCTGTCAAAATCAAGTTTCTTTTTCTGCTCATCAATGATGCTATGATTAAGAGAACATAGAAGGATCTTCATTTTGTACCAACCTCAATTTGGGTAAAGCAGTATGACAGAATTTCAATATTTCCAATTATTTCTTTTCAAAAAGAATGAATTAGAATGAGTCAGAAATCTTCCCCCTTTAAAGCCGTCACTATTTACGAGCGAAATTCACTGGGACTGTCTCCCATAAAAGTGGAGGTCTATATCTGCTATAACTTTGGAATTAAGAAATCTTAAAAGTAGTGTAACAATACAATTTGGGGTGGAGAAAGAAAGACAGTAGAAAAATACCTGGTATATATATCTAGGAATCCTGAGGTTTTTTCCCCTCATTGATTTTATTTGTTTTTTTAAAGATTGGCACCTGAGCTAACATCTGTTGCCAATCTACTTTCTTTTCTTCTTCTTCTTCTCCCCAAAGCCCCCCAAGACATAGTTGTGGGTTCTTCTAGTTGTGCTATGTGGGACGCTGCCTCAGCATGGTTTGATGAGTGGTGCCATGTCCACCCCAAGGATCCACACCAATGAAACCCAGGGCTGCCTAAGCCGAGTGGGCAAACTCAACCACTCGGCTGTGGGGCTGACCCCTCCCCCTCATTGTTTATTTTTAAAATTAGCTTAAAAATTCAATAACTATTTTAAGAATTAAAAAATTAGTCCTAGGCCAGAGGAAGAAATCATACCTGGTTGGCAAAACCAATGGTTCTAGATCTTTACCCCTCAGTGGAGAGACGGGCAACATAAGGAGTAATAGAATGAAGAGGCGCTGTGTGATATGAAAAAGTCCCTCAGGTAATTCTGAGACTCTTCCCTTCCCCTCTTTCTCCCTCTGCTTCTTTTTTTTTGCTTTTTGCTTTTTCTCCGCGAATCTCTCCAGTACATAGTTGTGTATTTTTTTGGTTGTGGGTCTTTCCGGTTGTGGCATGTGGGGTGCTGCCTCAACATGGCCTGATGAGCGGTGCCATGTCCGTGCCCAGGATCCGAACTGGCGAGACCCTGGGCCACTGAGGCAGAGCGCATGAACTTAACCACTTGGCCAGGCCCCTCCCTCTACTTCTAATCAATAAGTGATACCAGCTCTTATATGAGTTTGATCATTAGAATCTCCTGGGGTGTTTTTAAATATAGAAATTCCTGGATCCCAACCCTCAATATTTTGATTCAGTGGGGGCCCTTCCAGCCCATGCTTGGTGTGCCTATGGAGCAATCCAGTATCACCCATACTTACATAGCTCATGAATGTGGCCACACGATTCCCTGTCTCATCAGGCTCCAAAAGGCTTGTCCTCAAATCCCTGTGAAATTTAAGTAAGAGTGAATATCCAGGTTTTAGGCTTAAACTAGTTAAGAAGCATGAAAAACAGCTGCTTTCCCATCCATTATAATTAAGGATGTAATATGAGAATGAGAAACCTATCACAACCAAATGGAGGTCACCCCACCCCTTCAGTATGGACATGAGCAGACAAGCAGGTGAGACTGGAACCCAGGCAGGAAGAGAAGATACAGGAACTAAGTGATGCATTCACAGAACAAACCGCCAATCCATGTATTTGTCCATGATGGAGACAGAAAACTCAACAGAGGAAGTGGGTCAGAAAGCATGGCTAAAAAGGAATGCATGCCACTCCTGCAAAACATTTGATCTTAGGGCTGGCCAGGTCAGGAACAATTCAGAGTGGAATCACAAAGGGGGCTTATCCATAGGGAGAGTCTGGCTTTTGCTTTCAAGGTTTATGTGGTTTCCTCAGTGAAGGGTGTTCCTGCAGCACCAAGAATGTGGTTTCCCAGAATCCTATAACCAGTGGATAGATTTTGACTGTAGAGATGGCTGCTTTCAGCTTATATTCTGGCAGCAGTGAGAGGGCTTTGATTCCTGGAGCATCTTCTTATGAGGGGATAGGTTTAAAGGAAAAATCTTAGCTCAGACCTAGCTCTTCCAGGGAGCCTCTGAATTTCAGGCCACATGCCTGTTCACTGGGTCCCAGGACCACGATGTACATACCTCCTTTATAGCACTTACTCAATTATTTTGAAAGTAGCTGTTCATATGTATGTCTCCCAAAAAACTGTGGTCTCTGTATGGGAACTGACACTGTCTTCTTTGCCTTCCTATCCCTAGTTCCCAGGAGAGTAACCAGCACATCAAAGGTGCTAAAGGAACATACGTTTTTCAGTTTGCTAATTCAGCTTGTCTCTCCCAAAGCACAAAACATCTATCTTCTCCCTGTGTTTGGCTCAGCCACACTAGGGCTTGTGCTGGGCTAAAGTACTGGAGCTCAGAGCAATAGACTCAAGTGCTCCTCCTGTTCACAGAAAAGTGAGGTCTGCCTGAAGAGAGAGGCAGGGGAACCTAGCACAAGTAGGGCCACAAGTGGGAGCAAAGGATTCTGTGTAGTTCTCTCTCCATCACTTTCCATCCCAAGAATTCATCTCAATTCCAGATGCCTAGTGAAGAAAGTATCACATTAGATGGAGGTAAAAACTGTTTTCTCTTCTGGGTCTGATTTTAAAACAGTCCTCAGAGATTTATCCTTGAGAATTTAGAGGCCTCTGAGCTAGAAACCAAACCTCCCATATGAACTCTGACCTTCTCCTGCCACTTGAAACACAGTCCAAAGAAAGAACATTTTGCCCTTACCAAAAAATAATCCAAATGAGGTTCAAAGAATTCTCCAATACCACAATCAGCAACCTGGCAGTGAAAAAACAGACATGGTTAGTTAGGTGGGCAGCCTTCAAACCAGCCCAGGAACTCTTCCTTCACAGGCCTGCTCCTAAATGAAGACAAAATAAGCAGCTTATCTAGCACCTGCATCTGGATGAGGAAACTAAGGATAAGACAGTATATAGAACTTATCCAAGGTCACACAGCTAGAAAGTGGCAAAGGTCGGATTTACAACCAGGCTTTCTCATTCCTGGGCTCATGCTCTTAAACCACCAGCCATTTGTGGACCCACAGAAAGAAGTGGCAAACAACAGACTGGGTAGGTTTCTGTGGGAAGGGGCATAGAAGTGGAGCTCCTGACATTTCAAGGTCAGTGTCCCCAAGATAGAGAATGGAAAGCTTCAGGGTAGAGGTAACAATGGCTCAACTGCCAGATGGGAAAGGGCAAGAAAAGGGGAAAGACAAAGATGCCCCACTCAGGTTGACTCAGATACCTCATACCTCTTCCATCAGAAATACACTGGATGGAGAAAACGAGGTACAAGAAGAAAGCATGGGGAGTAGAGAAAAGGGGACCAATGTGAGTCAGAAGAAACAGGGCAGAAATAAGAGGAGGATTTGAAGTGGTTCAGAGATCATTACTCTCTCCTCTGGACACTGTGCCGCAACTGTCATTTCTGGCTTAGCAATGCCATATGAGGACATTCAGAATCCTCACAATGTCAGCATTCACAGGGTCCTTGTAACTCTTCCATTCTAATTCTCTCATCTGATAATGACAATACTGAGACAATACTGAGGAAGTAAATTGCCCAAGTTTATAAAGTCAGTAAGTGGCAGAGCTGAGAATATAACTGAAGTCTTCAAGATTTTAGTCCTGTGTCTTTTTTTGTGATATAACAAGCCCCTCCCAAATTTTTAAGTAAAACTCAAAACTAGTTAAACCATAATAAAAAGGAGTATATTCAAGCTAGGACAAAATCACTCCTGGGGCCCATAAACAAATACAAATTGCACGCAATTACACATAGGCCCACATGTAGGTAGGCACAAAGAGTTACACCTAGGGACAGTGTGAGAGACAAACAGTAAACAAATGGAGAGACACCAAATGAACATCCAGAGCAGAGAAATCTCACATATATGAGTAAGGTCATAGGGAGAGATGCCAAACCACCCCACCCCAGATTACCTTTGGCTGACCCTGACTTTGGATGGGTGGGCAGAAGCTGAGGTGATATTAAAGACTCTGGATCGCTTCATCTAGGAAATAGAACCTGAGAATGAATACAGTCTCACTTTACCCCTAACTACCTGCAGACCCCAAACACAGAACTATCATTAACTGACTCATTCATTCATTCTTTTAAGAACCTAATCTGAGCTATTTCAAGTGTACAGAGAACTTTGGAGAATAATACAACAAATTCACAGGTACTCCTAACTCAGGCCTGCGAACTTTTAGCATTGCCCAGATGAGGCAGAGACTAGCTACCCATATGATATTCTTTCTCTCTTTTTGCACTAATAAGACAGTTCTGATTTTATTAAAGGTACCAATGTGCCCAGAAAAGACTATACCTTCTCAACTCCCTTATACCTTGATGTGACTCTGATTATCTTATGGAAAATTATTTGTAAGCAAAAGTTTTTGTTGGGATAAGGGATTTCCAGGAAAGCTCATTAAACGGGGACAGCTAGTTGGAGCAGACTCTTTTTTGGCCCTTCCTTCCCTCCACCTGCTTCTGGTCTCAAACCCAGGTATGGCTCTATCAGCCATCTTGTGACATTAGGAAGAAAGCCATGCACAATAAAAGTTGAAACAGAAAGAAGGATCCAGGTCCCTGATGATACTGTGGAGCCACTAAAATGGTGCTGGACCATATTTCTCTTTAAGTCTGTTTATATAAAAAAAACTTAGGGGGCCGGTCCCATGGCCAAGTGGTTAAGTTTGTGTGCTCTGATTCAGTGGCCCAGGGTTTCACCGGTTCGGGCCCTGGGCACGGACATGGCACCGCTCTTCGGGCCATGCTGGGGCGGTGTCCCACATGCCACAACTAGAATGGACCCACAACTAAAAATACACAACTATGTTCCTGGGGGCTTTGGGGAGAAAAAGGAAAAATAAAATCTTTAAAAATAAATAAATAAATTTTTATGTGTTTAAGTCACTGTAACTGGGTCTCTATTATAAGTAGCCTAATATAATTCTCAACTGATATATTTATTTACTATGGAACTTTTTCAAAACTAAATAAAACAATACAGATAAAATTGAAACTCTTTATATAGCCCTTCCTAATCCCATTCTCCTCCACAGCTCCCCCAAAATAATCACTACTCTAAAATTAGTGCTTTATTCTGGAGCATGTTTTTACACATTTACTATTTATGTATAAAGTAGTCAATATGAACAGTACTGTCTTCCATATATTTAAACCTTATATAAATTACATCACATTGAATATTGGGTTCTATAACTTGCTTTTTGATTTAGTATTATGTTTTTTGAGATATCCACGAGAAATATGTAGTTGTAGTTCACTCATTTCCACTAAAGCTGAATAACGAATTGTATGCAAATTCCACAAATTGTTTATCCACTCTCCTTTGATGGACATTCAGATTTCTGCAACCTTTTACTGTTAGAACAGGCTGCAATGACCCTTCTATTACATCTCCTTGTCCACATATTCAAGTGTTTCACTAGGGTAGGGGGCTTCAAACTAGGGTATGTGTACCCCTAAGGTGTGCACAATTTTAGCAGTAAGTACACAGGAATTAACTTTCAGATCCTCAACTTCTATGCATACTTTTTATTAGCTTTGTTCAATTTCTCTTTTCAAACAGTCCTTCCTCCTACTATTCAAAAGAAAGGTCTACTCTTCATACACCTATAATTTTACTGTAGTGTATTCCCCTCAAGTATAAAAACTTCCAGGGCATCAAAAAAAAGGACAACATGAAATACTGTTTTGGTGAAGCCTCCTCTAGGTTAACCAAAGCAGCCATTAACTCACAGTAGGGTTTCCTGTATCTAACACATTTCTGATAAGTGTAAAGTATAGAACTTAGAAATGGGGCATTTTGGTCCTTGTTGAGATGTTTTGAATAAAACTATTTGTAAAGTAGGACAGTGTTAACTGATATATACTTTTGTCTCATGACTTTGCCTCCTTTATCTCTTGACTATTTTTGAAGAAGTCACTGCTCTAGGGATGATCCAGGGAGGGCAAAATGAGTATTGATAGAGAATATTTACAGGAGAAATGGTGGATTCACGTATTTAAATATAGGCAATTCTTTTTAACTATTCTTAACATTCATCCCTAATAAATGTCATTCACTAAAAAGAAAAGGAAATTCAAACAGCTAAAAAAGTTCAGGTTGATAATGTTGATTCTTTTACATGTAACAAGGTGTCACAGAATAAAAATACACTTCTAAATGCAATTTCCTCCACATATCTTCCTGGAAACCACCAAAAAAGAAAGAAAACAAAATCACCCATTACCCACGTCTACAATATTAACTAGGAAACAGAGTAACTACAAATTTTTATTTTATTTTAAGTGGGTAAATAAACATCAGATGTCAACAGAGGGTTTCAGAGATTTCTAAGCAAAGACTCTGGCTGAGGCTACAGAAAGGGTGAAAAGTGCAGTGTGGTCTTAATGGTAGTGAAACACTGTTAATGGTAAAACACCATATAACGTCATCTAAGGTCTTGCTTCCAGAGGGAAAAGGCCCTCCTCTGAGTGCAGAAATTCTGAGAGAACATCTGAGACTTAGTGGATCAGAGTTCTGGCTTTTGGACATTTTAAGCACAGGAGCTTCAAAAGCATACTGAATCATGGGTGGCAATATGGGGAGAGCACTATTCCCAGAGTGAAGGAAGGAGAATGAGACATCCCTTATAAGTTTGGTGGTGACGAAAAGAAGGAATTGGCTAAAAGTAAGGGCTCTATTAAAATTGTATTATTATAATTAATAATTATAATTAACATTATAAGTATTTATAATTAACATTATAAGTATTATGATATTATATAAATATTACTATATTTATATAATATCATTATATTTATATAAATATTATATAGTAAGAAACAATTCAAAGAAGACAGACCAAAAAAAAAGTACCATTAATTAAAGAAACTGCATTTCACTGTAGGAATAGCAGAGGAAACATTTAACATGAGATCACTGGTCCAGGAAAATCCAACAAAAATAAATATGAGAAATAAAAATAAAAAAGAACTCAGGGTCCATACGAGTTACCATAAATAGAAAAGTATACAATGAAAATCAAAACTTTTCCGGAGTTGAAAACACAACAAAACAATCCAGCCCCAGCCAAGAAACAGAGGAAAATTATAACAAAATACTGTAAGAGAAGATGTGAAACAAAAACTGATCATATTCAGGAAAGCTATTGGAAAAAACAATAAAATTATCTCAGAAATAAAGACTAAATCAGAAGGTGTCCAAGAAAGAGAGATGACCAAAAGTATACCAAGAGATACAGAAGACAGAATGAGAAAAATAAATAAAATGAAGCAAAAATGAAGATAAAGGTAAACAGGATCAGAGATAGTGATAAATATAAAAGACCGACGAAGACAAGCAACATAGGTATCACTGGAGTCCTTAAAAAATAAATAAAAGAATGGAATTTACCTAAAATGGTCAATTCCAAGATATATTGTAATAAAACAGGAAATATAAAATAATAAATATAGTAAATTAACCTAAATGAATATGTCAAAACTGAGACCAAATATATCAATCATATGAATAAAGTATTTATTTACATGGATAAATACAAATTATTTTTATTAAGAATAAAAGATTTTTAAACATAGCTGAGTATATTCCCATCAGACTGACCCTCCCCCAAATAATAACTATAAACTCTGGGCAAAGCACACAAAAAAATTACCAGAAGGCACCACGGAGTAAACAAAAGCATGCAGATTATGGATGGAAGTCTATCCTTGAAAGAAGGGAATGATACAGGGTGGTTTCCTACTTTTGTAGTGGCTGTTAGCCTCAGGATGACCAAAGCTGACACAGCACAAGGCAGCTAAAATTCTGACAGAAAATCCAAAGTTTTTCTAACCTGAGAATCACATTACAGGGTTTGGAGCAACCACAGGTGCTAAAAATTAAAGAGTAAATCCCGATAAGATGAAAGAGAGAGAGGTATCTCCAAATTCTATGCATAAGCTCTACCCAAATCTCTTGCAGACCTCTAAACAATGTATATGTAGGTTGACTACAAGCAGCCCAGCCAAGAACAAAAGAACTGAAGCGCACAAAAAACAGAGCTTGCAGTTTGTGTCTAACGAAGTTAATTGCCTGTTATTAAAAACGAAAACAGGCTGTCCATTTCAAGATGGTGTTGTAGGAGACTCCTGAACTCACTTCCTCCCAAGGACACACTGAATCTACAGCTACATATGAAACAATTCCCTCTGAAAGAAATTCAGAAAGTGAGCAATTCCAACACATTGGGCAAATGAGAAAAAACCCACATCAAAAACAGTAAGAGGCTGAGACACAATCTCGCCATATGCCCTGACCCTGGCACAGTGGCACACAACCGGGAGGCAAGTCACAACTCCCAGCTTCTCCCTGAGGAGTTATGGGTTTGGACCCCACAACTAGCAATCCCAACTTTAAAAACATTCACCTGAGAGATGGTCCCCTTTAAAAACATCTAGCTTTAAAAGCCAACAAGGCTTGCATCCACGAGATCCATGGCTACAGTGAATTAAGAGACAGTTGTTAAATGGCTTGCACAGACTCACTGTGGCTAATCCCCCAGGATCCAGCAGAGGTAGCAGACTGAAACCACTTGTACAGTGAAAGAAGCTGCAACCTGACGGGCAGGCTTCTAACTTAACACATATCAGGGGGCTGATGGTAATACTCTTCAGAGACCAGGTAAGTTGGTGGGCGCTATCTTTGTATCTTCCCTCTGCCTAGCTCCAGGCAGCCAGTGTCTCCCAGAAAGAGACTGTGCACACTGCTGGTACCCCAGATTTTGTGGCTGCAGCCCAGGGGATGCCCCTTGAACACCTGGCTCCGGTAGCCAGTGGGGCTTGTGTACATGAGTTGAACAGATGGTAGCAAACAAAGAAACAGTTCTTAACTGGCTATCATTCCAGGGCTCAGTGCAAATGGAGCAGACAGAAACATCCATCTCCCAGTTCTTGCCTGAAAGAGGTATATATGCATACTTTAAAAGCTGCTGCCTA